ATTGCAAACACACCTGCTCAAATCCTCCGCGATTTCGCACCCCAATGTAAAGTCTATGCAAATCCACGTTCTGTTTCGAAACCTAAAAATGACTGAACTTTAACTGTCCGTTCAGGACTACGCTAGTGGGATCCCACCTGTGGTATCATGGTTATCGGCTCTCCATGTTGCTCACAAAACTGTACAAGGCGCTCAAAAAACATGCGCCGTTCTGGCATGACTCTTGGCGGATTTGCCGCATTGGGTGGGCCCACCTAAAAAAAGACCACTCTACAAACTGTCTCCCGTCACGAGGTCATTAGATAACTCACAAGTTTATCGACGATACTTTCTTTTCTGGGTCCCGAGGGTGGGGTTGGCTGCATCACCGGAGGCATCATACCTTGCGGTGGCATCATTCCTGGATGCATCATCATTCCACCGGGAGGTGGTGGTCCGCCCGCATGCATTTGCGGAGTAGCTGTTGGGGCTGGTGCTCCAGGTGGAAGAGGAGTGCGCTAAAAAAGAAATTATGAAGTGTATTCAAACTCAATGGGCGGCAACCAGCAAGTATTACCTGTCCCTGATTAGCCCAACTTGGCGATTCTAATCGGGATTTATCGTCCATAGAGTCATCAGCTATGGAAGAAGCAGCGGGGCTAGGAGCTGGCATGCTCGCAGGAGTTGGTGGATTGGCTTCCTGTTGGAAAAAAATAACAATTCCACAAAAAAATACTAGAAGAACTGTAATCCATTCTGCATGTAGTACTAATACCTACGTTGTCGACTTCAGCGGTTAGCTCAAAAACTTTCTCATTCAATTTTAACAAAAATACGCTGATACCAGGATCAGAAATTCTGTAGTAATGAGAAAAGCGAATGTCTAGATATAAGACCGTTTTTTTGAACCAGACAAATTCTCTTTAATTGAGCCCGCCCTACAAACAATCCATTTTTGCACCATAACTACCCCTAAAATCATGCCAGATAAGTCCGAGGCCTTACTGTACCGGACTTTTTATACAGAGGAGATCTACCTACAGGTAGGCCCTATAGGCCAGATCTAAGGTGATGTGAAGTTACCTTCATTGCCCGCTGTTGCTGAGCTGCCCATTCGGCTGGTGTAGGTCCTTGTGGCATTCGAACGAGTTCCGGTTGCTGCGGTCGCATCAGGTGTGCCGGGTAGCCGACGGGAGCTCCGGGATATCCAGGTTGTGCAGGAGGCATTCCCGGATAGCCAGGATACATGGGGTAACCAGGTGGTCTACCCTGCATGAACTGCGGAGGATAAGCAGCCGCATAAGGATGCGGTGGGAGTTGCTGTTGTGGTATTTGTTGGGGTGGAAGCTGCTGCTGTTGAGCTTGTGATTGACCTTCTGTAAATGAAAAAACATGATGCTACCGCTTTCAGTGAAGAAACTTTATACAAAAATACCTGGTTGTTGCTGTGAATGACCCGTTGGCTGCTGTTGTGAAGGGGATCGAGGCTGCTGCCATTCTTGTTGCTGTACACCAGCCAGTTGAGCATGCTTTGGCGGTCCATTGCCATGGTTCATCGACCCGGCTCCTGCAGCTACCGCAGCGGCTGTGGCCGCGTACCGATCAGCTCCAAATGGTGTGCCACCGTTTGGAACGTTTTGATCCTTGAATAGGGAAAAACTATGCATTGATCAAATCAAAGCATGGCGAAATTTTAAATAGAGATTATAGTAAACATGTAAAGCGACATTCTTTAAGCGTCTAGTCACTCATAGGAACACTCAAAAATGCAGCTCACTATATGTTTTTTTTT